GTACCAGACAAAATGTTAACCTATTTCCCCCGAGTACTTCTCTTACTAAAGTTCAAAAGGGTCCATATTATTCTGGTATAAAAATCTACAATCATCTGCCTAAAGAGCTGAAACAATTATCTAATAACCAGAAATCCTTTGAACGTTCCCTAAAAAGATTTTTACATGCTAACTCTTTTTATGCATTAAATGAGTATTTTAATTACAAAGGCACATAAATTTGAATGCTTAATGCCACATTTTAATATAGTTGGTAAGGGAGATGTGAGGAGTTGTATTGTGGTTACTTGTGACTTATGTTCGTTTAATCTTTTTGCCTTGTATTGTTGTATGTGCTGGATAATTAATGCGGGTGATCTTCGCGGTGTGACTTGTGTGACTTTGTGTATATGTTTGACGACTAATTCCACATCCTTGGTTTGTTCCCTGTATGGATGTTTATGGAAAGTGGAGGATGTGTATGTATGTATATGACGAGTCCTGTATCAATGTATTTTGATTTATGGGAAAATTATATTAATTTTAAGTTTTTATAGTAATGCACTTTTTAAATTATGTTTAGTTACAATTGTAATAAGCTCTTGTTTTGTTTTTTTATATTACCTATATTAGTTAACTGGTGTGTGTTATTTTAGTTGTGTGACTTATGTAATCTATTACATGTATACATCTATAATCAAATGGACTATTTCCACATCCTAGGATTTTTGCCTGTATGGATATATGGAAAATAAAGGAAATGAATGAATGAATGAATGAATGAATCTGATATAAATTGGTATGAATCCATGTTATCAACCACAAAAGACAATAAAGAATAAATGCACTGAGATTGAAGAGGGAGAATTCTTAATGTTTTAAATAACTGTCTACAAGAGTCTCTATTTCTAATACCTGTCATTATTCTAAATGCCCTCTTCTGCACATGAAAAGCATTAATAGCAAATGAAGAATTTCCTCAGAAATTAATACCATAATGCATAATAGAATGGAAATAAGCATAACAGACCATCAACAATGTTTCCTGATTCACATATGGCTTAACAGTTCTAATCACATAACAGGTGGTATTAAGTTTCGGAAGAAGTTGATCGACATGTCTCTTCCATGATAGTGTGTTTACAATATTAATTCCTAAAAACTTTATATAACATGACTCAGAAATTTTCTTGTTGCCATATGCAATATTAATATAGTTGTCCTAGCCATAGGAATTTTTTGTTGTGAATTTAATATAATCTGTTTTGGAAAAGTTTAAAGACAAATAAGTTGGCATTAAACCATATATTTAAAATTTTAAAAAATTCAGTCAATCTGTCTTGGAAAACCAAGGGATCAAGTTCACTAATAATTACACTAGTGTCATCAGCAAAAGGAATAGGGGTAGAAATCTTATTTAGTGCTAATGGAAGATCATTAATATAAATCAAAAAGAGCAAAGGTCCCAAAGTGGAACCTTGGGGTACTCCATTGAAATTTCACCCCAATTTGAATATGTGTTTAAATTATAATATTTGGATTGCAAGCTTATTTTTAGAAATGTTCTTTCCAAGTACAATGTTATTAATTTGTGCATTAAGCCCGAAATACCACAAAACTCTAGTTTAGATGACAAAATCATATGGTTAACGCAATCAAAAGCTTTTTCTAGATCACAGAATATTCCTCCCATATTATGTCCATCATTCAGATCCATTAATATCTGGTTGAGTAACCTATAAGTGGCTTTGTAAGTTGAAGAGTTTGCCCTAAATCCAAATTGTTCATTTACCAAAATATTATTATTGACCAAGCATTTACAAAGCCTCCTACATATCACTTTCTCAAATATTTTTGAGAAGTTAATGATTTTTTTTTCCTCAGCACTACAGCCCCAGTGGGCCTAGGCCTACCTCCATGAACTTCTCCGTTCACTTTCGGTTTTTCTAGATCTTACACATTTGGTAGGACTCCTTGGGAGGGTGATCAGCTCATTGCAAGGCCTCTACCTGTACACAAACACAGAAAAACGTACACGCACAAACTAAACATCCATGCCCTGAGTGGGATTCGAACCCATGATCCTGGTTTCCAAGCGAGCGAAGACAGTACATGCCTTAGACCGCTCGGCTACCGTGACCGGCAAGTTAACAATGATATGGGTCTATAATTACTAATACGATTGTTATAACCCTCTTCATATATGGGTTTTACTTCAGAAAATTTAAGTCGATCTGGAAATATATCAGTTGCTAATGAGCTATTTATTATATAGGTTAATGGTAAGGTAATGTAATGTACACTATTTTTCAAAATTTTGACAGGGATCTCATCATATCATAAGAATTAGTCATTTTCAATTTATTAATAATATTTACAATTTCATTAGTTGTTACCAGACCATATCTAATGGGATGAAAAGTATCTTTAAAAATATCAGATAAATATTCACTGGAAGTTTTACTTTTATCAATTAAATTACAATTCCATCAAATTCTCCATAAGCATTATCACCAGTACAGGAATAATAGGACATATGGAACCCGACATGTCAAGGGGACCTAATATGGATTCCACCTCACACTATATGAAATCTTAACTATTGTAATCTATTGTAAACAATATATAACTATTTAATGAACCATCACAACACAGCAAATAGTAAAACATCAAAGTCAGCGTTCAGCTGTGGCTTTGCTACATGTTTCAGCCACTATCGGCCATCATCATCATAATGCTGCCTCGTCATTAAGAAGAACTGTCCGTATTGCATGGAAAGCAAACACAATTCATTAATTGCTACACCATGGGCCTCTCTTAAAATCTTCTATATAAAGTAATATCAAATTTCCCTATTGTCTATGGAAACGCACACTAAGTATATCCAACGACTGATTCAATGTTATTGAAAACATCATTAATATTTTATCTTGTTATAATACTTCCAATTTTTAATTTTTATATAATCTGAACTTTCGTATTTTTTACATAAGCAATTTTAAAATTGTACAATCAATAGTGTTATATCCATTTTATGGTTGCAGTTAAATGGTAGATTTTTGTTGATATGTATTTGCCTGATGATGGCCGATAGTGGTCGAAACATGTAGCAAAGCCAAAGCTGAACGCTGACTTTGATGTTTTACTATTTGCTGTGTTGTGACGGTTCCTTAAATAGTTATATATTGTAGCACAGCAGGATGCATGGAATTAAGATTACTGTAAACAATTTTAAGTATTGTAACTTTATTCTCTTATTGTAATCAGCCGATGTACAGTAACTGACTTGTCTTATATCATGTAACAATGATCTATACAGACGAAATAAATAAATATATTACTGATAATTGTGTCAGCTACAGACAGGAAGTATTTATTTAAAGAGTTGGAAATGCTTTTTGAATTAGTATATACTCTATCAAAAGTATTCAAAATAGGTAAGATATTGTAACGTGACTTCCTACCAGTCAGCGCCTTAACAATATTCCAAGTCAATTACCAGAAGGGGCTTTATAAACTGCAAGTATATAAATATATGATGAGCCGGACTGAATTTTGATTGAGCACAGTTTGATGTCAAAATCAGAGCAGTCTGTTTCAATAATTAATGTAACATAATTTAAATTATTAAGTAAAAATTACATGTTCCACCTTTCGATGAAGATCTTTTACAATAGCTGGCATCCAATTTATAAATTTCAATAATAACACTACTCAAATCTGTGCAACTTAAATGGTGCTCAGTTATGCAGATGATATGTGGAATATCTGGATATATGGAAGTTAATAATTCGTTATATCTAAAGCCACAAATATTCTGATCATATATTTTCAGAGGATGATGTATAATAGGTGATTTATTACCTTTATTTAATTTTGTAGAATGTACTGCACTTGAATTACCTGTGTTATAGCATTTAGTAGTTAAGTTTAAATTTCCCATTAAAATCATTTGTTTTTGTTACAGGCTTCTTTCTAATATGCTTTACTGATGTATTTTCAACAATCTCATCTGAAGTCAGTGGAAAAAGTTGATTTACAGAGACTAATTGTTCGAAGTTGAACTTCATGATATCTGAGCGCTATGATATTAGTGCTCATATTATTTTCCTTCTCTATAAGAGAAAAAATCTGAAGAAGTAAATTGAATGATAGTATTTATTTATTCAGATCATTCAAGTGTAATCCATGTTTAATATACAAGTGTCTATTTTCATTTAGTTCCACCACACTGAGACGTGGAAATAGTTTTTTGAGCTTAAGTAGTTTTCTATTAAAATTAGTAATTTCATCACTGAGAGTAATATTAGGACCTTTTAGGTTATGCCTATAAGGGACTGTTAATACAATCACATTCCTATGAGTGACTCTCTTAATGAATTCAATAAAATCATTAAAAACCGTACTTTATTTCACTCTATCAATATTGTTTGACCCACAACAAAGAATAATAAAATCTTTGTCTAGCAAATTATCAACATCTTTTGTAGCTTGTTCCAATATTATCTTGGTACCAGCTCCAGGTTTAATGTAACAACTTACCTGGAACTCATCATTCAAATAAAGTTTCATATTTTCTGAGAAGCCTCTTAGATGACTATCACCTGTCAACAGTATTTTATATTTTGAAGATTTTGAAAGATTGCTTTTACTATTCAGGAATGTATCATGTAATTCACTTACATAATTATGAAAAGACAACACTTCCTCGTCCCTAGTAGGAGAAACACATCCATAATAATAGTTGGAATGTTTTGGGGTTTGGTATTGTCTTCCTGAACATTCACTGGTTCATATCTAATATTGATTATTCGCTATTTTGGTGACCCAGTACGATGCTTTATATAATGCCTAGTCTGTGAATTTTCTACATCACGATGAATCTTCAACTTCTTCACCGATTTAATTCCTTGCATTTCCGATGCGCTATGTCCCCTACCTGATGGGCAGTCCGTTATATTTAATATAACGTCATACCTGTTATTAGTAGCTATAAGAAAGTATGGTGCATATTCACTTACATTTTGCTACGTTGTTCTTTCCACTATTTCTATACCTTTTGCACATTCCGTCGTCAGTCAACTATTTTGATGTTCGTCCGACTTCACATTCACCGCTACACCAGATAAAATCTTAAGTTTGGGGTTAGTCTCTTCCCACTCTTTAACAGGAGTTTCTTTATTAACGGCAATCAGCTTAATTCAGAAAGTGCATGTTGCAGATTGTTTTCTAATTCTAGACATTCAGAACATTCGTGACCATCATATACATCCTACCTATACTCGTTATTTTCAGGACGTGCATACCACTTCAACCAACTGCCAGCCATCTTCCCACACGGTTGTATAATATGACAGACACTGCCTACTGAATTGACAAGATCAAAATTTTCTCCTAAGATATATGAAGCTATAAAACCTCTTTTGTACATTTATAGCATTCACACGCACACACATATATCAACTTCAGAATTCCATGACTCATTGTAAGGAAATGAAGGTGCTAGTTAATCTACCCGGGCTGATGTCCTAGCATCTGGTGACATATTAATCGATATCATCGATATTAATGTCCTATACTCAGTAGAAACGTGTTTTGTCCACAAAGAAATCGATCACACGCTCCTTCGCGTGAAGTATAGATGTCACATTGTTACAAATGCCATGTGATTATTTAAATAGGACTTTTAACAAACCATTTGCAACTGATGAAAATATATTTTCCTTTTAAATTACAGCCTGTGTTAGGTGGACCAATATGAAAATTCTAATACCAAAATTGCAATTTCAATAACTTTTTAAGTAAATGTACGATAGGGTTTTAATTGGCTTACAATGTTCAAGCAATTTTCATATATTTGCATGATCTGGTACGAGACAATCTTTACGATTTCCGACCTTATTTTAAGAAAAACCGGCGCTATCCCGTAGGAGGACGTCCACTGTTTGGTTGATAAGTAGGCCGTTATGTCATGGCAACGACGCAAGCGGTCGACGTGGCAACATCAGCTGAAAAGATTTGCGTAATGACGCAAGCTGTCCACGTGACAATATCAGCTGACATGTATTACGTGGTATTGCGTTATTTTGCCTGTTACGTCATACCACCTGTTGAGGTTACTGGCAGTTCGTCGTGCGCCTCGAATGTGGTTGCTTCGTTAGTATCTGCGTTGTAACTGCTGTTGGAATACTAGAAGTTCTTGTGTGGTGAAATTCGTATAAGTGGTGTAACTGCAACAGTAAGTGTACAAAGTGTTTCTTTCATCGTTTTGATATTCCGGCCGCTTCAGTAAGTACGCTAATAGTGATGGCATGGGAAGCGGAGAGACTAATGAACATTTCTCTGACTAAATTGGCGGAATCTCGCGAACAACGTGGCGGTATTAGCCTCCATAAACATCTCATGGTTGTTACGGTTCTGAAGAAGGCGCGTTGCATTTTCAGGGAGGAACTATACAACATAGTTCAATCCCAAGAGCGTGGTGGTTACACATCAACCACAACAACGACCCCGCAGGATCAACAGCAGCAAGACGAATGCGAACAGAACTATGACGACAATGGACTTGTAGATTTAACACCGGAGGAGGCTGGCACTGGATCGTCGCAGTATACAACACCACACTCCGAAGACGCGTCGTCCGGAGTTAATCATCTCCAACTTTCAGCGTCCTGTGTACGATGTGCAGATAATATCCTGCCCTCCCTTCCATCATATGAAGATGACAAAGAAAATCAACCTCCACCCTCATATCACACAATTCCTGCCTCTCCCCAGAGTGACAAATCACCCGCTCATGGAGACCATGTTCTACGACACAGACGACGCAGACGACAAAGACGTCACAGATCGAATGCAACAAGTACTTCTTCGCCAAGGTGCCCTAAGAGACGGATTAATTTTGGGGAGTGCGAAACAGAGGAAGCAGATTTAACGCCGGGGGAGGCTGGCATTGGATCATCACTACATAAAACTACTTCAACTAATCCACCAAAGTGTGCAAAGCTATGCTGCGTGACGTGAGGGCGATGACACCGTGCCCACCACAATGTAAGCCGGTCGTGTTGCAAGTGTTGTGTCCATACTGTTTCGGCAGTCTTGCAGGAAATGCGGCAGCAGTAGCTGCGAACATGTCGGCGGGGCCGGGAATTTGAAAGCCAACCAATTCGGTATCCACCCCAAACCTGTGTTCGTCTAAAGCCAAGGAGGCCGTTTCGTGCGATGATTGTGTAAATACATCGAAACCGAACAGTGTTGCCACGACCAGCAGGTTGTAAACATAAACACATTAATCCAACCAACTTCGTGATCTTTGACTAGGACGGTACAATAGGACGTTTGCAGCAGGCTGTACGATATTGAACTGAACATAATAATGAAAGACAGAGGTAAGCAGTTCTATGTGTAAATTGACAGTGTTTGATACGGCGGCGAGAAGGTGTACACTGGGGCCTAACCCAGAAGATAATATATTTTTCTATTGTGATTAAAATATTTGATTCAGTATTTGTAACCGAGTTGTAAATTCAGATTTTTAAAAAGTGTGTTTGTCTTCAATGATTTTGTACTTGGTTTCTGCATCATGCTTAACTCAAAGCCTAGGCAAATTTTACAACACAACAGTAACAGTTTAGACACATCTGAACACCTGAGGATGGCGGTCTGTGGCAGAAACATGTGTGGAATATTTTAATGATCATTACATTATTGAAAAACTAAATACATAGACATTTAATACAGATGTGCATCAGGATGATGAAATGTAGAATTACAAACCCCCACTTATTTAGATTAAAGCCAATACATAGCCACCATAAGTTGCTACGTAAGTAAGTGGGGGTTTGTGTATATAAATACCAATGTAAAATTTGCCTAGGCTTTAAATCAAGCAAAATGCTGCAGAAACCAAGAACAAAATCATAATTTAAATCTGTTCAAATTTTATAAATGAACTGAACATAATAATGAAAGACAGAGGTAAGCAGTTCTATGTTTAAATTTACAGTGTTTGATATGGCGGCGAGAAGGTGTACACTGGGGCCTGACCCAGAAGATAATATATTTTTCTATTTTGATTGAAATATTTGATTCAGTATTTTTAACCGAGTTGTAAATTCAGATTTTTAAAAAGTGTGTTTGTCTTCAATGATTTTGTACTTGGTTTCTGCATCATGCTTAACTCAAAGCCTAGGCAAATTTTACATCACAACAGTAACAGTTTAGATACATCTGAAAGTACATAGACATTTAATACAGATGTGCAACAGGATGATGAAATGTAGAATTACAAACCCCCACTTATTTAGATTAAAGCCAATACATAGCCACCATAAGTTGCTACGTAAGTAAGTGGGGGTTTGTGTATATAAATACCAATGTAAAATTTGCCTAGGCTTTAAATCAAGCAAAATGCTGCAGAAACCAAGTACAAAATCATAATTTTAAATCTGTTCAAGTTTTATAAATGTGTATTGTTGGTAAAAATACAAGGACAATTTTAAAAATAAAACGTTCTTTCAATTATTTGTTAATTACCTGACAATTCCTACCATTTATTGTGTGAAGTTGTGGGTGGAATAGTAAGTGTGAAGTACTCAGCTTTAAGTTTTCAATTTGTTTCATTGGGGCTGGAAATGTGCCTTTGAAATCAAGTGCCAGTCTTATAGAAGCTCTTTGAGAATGCTGCCCTTCATCTACACATTGCTAAAAATATTGCTAAATAATTTTTCTGGCTTACCCTTTCCTATCAAGGAGGTACTTTACAGCACAATTTTACATGGACCCAGGCATAATAATAAAACTAATTACCAATCCGAATGGCGTCTCAATAGCCACACTACAGTATATATCATGCCATCTCAATGGCATACATCATAAATCCCTGTGATGACATAATCAGTATAGGTATGTCAAAAAGTTGTACAAAAAAGAGAAATTTTACGAATTGTTTTGTTCTTCTGGAATTACTGATGCTATTTAATGAAGGAGATTTAAGAGGATCGGGCGTACAGAATGTTTGGGCAGAACATGAATTCCACATGTAAAACTATCCCCTAATGTTTGGCTGTGTTGGGAAGTCATACATTCTTGGCTTCCATAAATGTGGGAACATTTCTTGTCAGCTTTCAAAAAAGGAACCTGTTCCCTGGAGTGTGCCGTGTGTAGAAACAGAATGTCCAGAAAAATTGATGTAAAATAATACATATATTTCCTAGGTATTATAGTTAACCAACATTTCTGAGATTTCCCTTCATGCAAAGAAATTCTGAGAATTGATAATTGTGGTTATTTAATTCTTTGCACTCCTCAAAACGTCCAGCAGAAGAGCTCCGGGTAGTGCTATGCTCCAAGTGGCATTTGAATGTGTGCAAGAAGAAAATGTGAGGGGAATCAGCAGAATGGTGTCAGTACCTCTCAACACACAGCCTGCAGGAAATGAGTGCACACNAAATCACCATTTTTTTTGTGGCCCATTTAATATTTATGGTCCTATTCAGCAGGCATCAATCAATGACGCACAAAATATGAATAAAATCTCTTCAGGTGCATATCCATACATAAAGAGAGCATTCCAAAATCATCTCTTATTCAGGTGGGCTCAAAATGTGCAAATCAATCAGAATCCCAAGATTGCTTCTGTCTTGATCAAAACACTTTCTCATACGTACCATGGCCTAATGAACAGAAAAACTGATGTTTGCAAGACCTGCCATGCTGAAACCATGGCCATTCTTTTGCTCTTAACATGGGATACTAAAGCCCACCTCTGCCCCACTTTTCATAGATGCATACATTCTATACTGTCTGTTGCTGTTTTTTTTTTCTCCCACATTTGGAGTCCAATATTTCTGATGGTGACATCTGAAAGTGTATAGTTATTATGAGATGATTTGGTGTACACAATTCTAAATGGCAAAATGATTTGCTTCACCTCTCCACACATGTCCTGACTGACCCAAGTAGACCCGTCCATTGAGTAACTCTTCCCCCAAAAGAGACTATCATTTGAGCAAATGCAATGAAATGAAGCTTACGCCTAACAGCATGTTATAAAATTACAAACATTTGGAAAGAATTCTCCTCCTGCATCTAGTCATTCAGAAGTTTAGCATGTATAACCATTGGGGGAAGCAGAAAGCTCTCTTCATTCAAAATGCACTGCATATACTTAAGGTAGAAGCCATCACAAAATCAAAATGACTCTTCTAATACCATACCCTGAATGCATTTACATGTTCTTGCACTCTGATGGTACAAAATATATACATGCCAACATTTTGTATGAAAATAAGCATTTTATTATAACACACAGAGGACAGACACCCCTTAATCTCATGTAAGTTCCGTGTTCATCCTACTTATATAACTTCATATGCATGTGTGTGTGTATATATATATATGAAAAAAACACTATTTTCCACTTCAAATATCCTTCACAGTAACATGTATTAATATTAAATCTTGTCTGAAGATGTGACTTTCAGGGTGAACATGAGGTGTCAAGATTTAATTTTATGAAGAAATATGTATTAATTCATTTCAGAGGTAAAACTAAGACTTTATCATTAGATACAATTCTGTGTATTGACATGTAGTAGAACAGAGTATCCACAAAGAGCCTGATGCCTGTAAACTGTATATTATTTCCCTTATAGTAAAATTTATGTAAAAAAGTTCCTATTCCATGAGTAACAACAATCTTATCAGGTTGCCAACTATTACCGAAACAGTGTTTATTGCAAAATCATGATCTCTTGAAGTTTCAAGCCACTTCAAGGCATCAAATATCTCCTCTCACCATCTTCCATTACAAATAAATATACAAAGCACAGATGATGTCACAGTATTTACAAACAATTTCAGGTCTTTGGAAAACTTTTCACATTAAAAAATGTTTGTATAATTGTAGATGAAGTATGAGTAAACATAATATTGTGTATGTCCATGATGACACTCCAGACCGAGATAACTTGATGGCTTACTTCTTCTAAGAGTGCATCCCACCTGTAAAAGACAACGTTAATAATTTCCAAGATTCAAATGATTTTTTCTTCCATAATTGAAACACCCAAAGATTCGTGTAATTGTATTGCCTGATCTAAATACAGAAAATGTGGGGGTTGCTGTCATTGTAAAACCATACTTAGAAATCCTTCATGTAAACTAAAAAATGTACACAACCACACAGCAATATTATTTGTTTTATGTACAAGATATTTTCAGTATGTTCAGGTTATATATCACATCATTTTAGTCTGTTGTCACAACCTCATGCCATTCAAATCAGGTGTACATGTAGTATGCATACCACATATCTATCAGACATTTTACTTTTGCATGTGCAGCCCCATGCACCTACAGAAAATACTGATGCATGGTATTCAAACATTCTTTCATTCACTTACAAGGACAATAAAACCTCCTTTTTGTATTTCTCAATTTTTAGGCCTTCTTCATAGTAAAAAATACTGTGGTGTCAGCTAGATTACCTAATTATTATATCTCCTTCTTTACTAAAACCGTCACAACACAACTATATCGAGGTCAGTGCCTAGTTTTGGCTATTAATAGCCATCATCAGGCAAATATATGGCTAACATATATACACCACTGAAATACAGTACTAGTAAAATTGGTTACAATAATATTAATTATACAAAATACTTGATGTAAAAATACAATAAATTAGATTATATGAAACAAAAGTTATAGTATAAAACAAGAATAAAATTCTTCGATTGATGCTTTACATCATCGAGTCATTTGTTGGTTTTTGTTATTTTGTTGTGTTCCCTCGGACAAGTTGGAGTATTCTATATTTATGTGTATATAAAAACTGTTATTGGAGGCTCGTGGTGTAGATGTAGTAATATTAATTTTAATTATTTAGTCGGTGCCTCATCTTACCAAGCACTGTCCGTTCTGTAGGGAATGTAAACAACAAACAGAACTAACTTTGCCAACAAATGGCGGTCACTTGGTCAGTATAGTTCGCTTGCGGACTACAGGCCATGGAGTTTTTTCTGGAGACAGAAGATAAAAGCTCCTGGATTGAATGGTAGCAAGCACTACCCAAAGTCAGCCTCCTCTTAATTTCCTCCTGAATCAAATCTCACTGAGATTTGGTTGCGCAACCAAACAGGGAACACACAACACGAGACACGATATAGTACNAGACAGATAAGATAAATAATCTTGCCAAGTTTTTAGTATATAAATATTTATTATAATTGACGAACATTTTAAATCCTTTTTAAATTTTACAATGGCATAATGGCAGGCAATGAAATAGATTAGCCTAGATGGAGCACCTGATGATGGCACTATGGTGCCGAAACATATTGTGAAATAACAAGTGAAATTGAGTGCACTAAAAGACGGACACTGCATACATATCATGGACAACTGATGGTTGCCTGATGATGGCCTTGTGAGGCCAAAACACAATGCAACAAAATAGAAAATGTGATTTTAACATTTTATGAATTCTAAATTTGATTATAAATGACAGATGACATGTGTTTGCATCATAGACGGAAGTTAGGGAATGAGTCATTTTATATACTTTGTACTTTTCCCCATACACCAAGGTTTTTCTATACCTGGATGCAGTCTAATCTCCTTTCTTATATTTATTCTGTAAATAATTTTGTGACAAAATCTAAGACCAAGACACGGTCAAGTGACTTCTTTTATTTTGTGAGTGACTAACACTTCTTACAGACAGTCTGTCAGTTTCCTGTACACTCTGATGTACAATCACCCCACAGATTCCAGGCAGTGAAGTGTGGGACCAGAGTACATCACATCACATTCAGAAATCAGATTTAGTACATGCACACGCACAGAATGCTCTCTCACACAGTTCACTTCATTGGTTTTCAGTTTGTAATAGTTCTCTTCATCACTACTATACTACCATAATTCCAAACAGCCTTCACCATTAATCACTACAACGTATCACCAATTCAGACTCACACCCAGCCAACAGTTCATTCACTCATTTCATTTATTTATTTACTGCAGAAGCTGAAACTCATATCTTATAAAGAAATTGTTCTCAGTATTTTATAACTTAAGATTATGAGAATAAAAAGTGACTTTTTTTGCAACAGTCCATTTCGTGTGTCTCTCGACTTGAGTTGCATAATAATTATACAAATGCAAATGTTAGTGGTTTTAAAAATGTTTCATGTTCTCAGTATGTAGAAGCTTGAATGAAATGACAACACTGATCCAATATATATATATATCTTTAGCCAGCTACAGACAGAGCGTTCTCGTTATCTTGACACTTGAGATGTACCTAAGGTGGGGAGGACTGGTATGTCCGGTGCAGTTCACAACCGAGCAGCCTGTGTTGCAGCCGGCGGTGGCATTTTCGAAAATCAGCTTTAAGCACCAATCAATTCAAATTGAACGTAATTTCACGAAGTTAACTTTACATTCATACATTAAATGTATCATGTATTATGCTGCTTTATTATT